CAATGTACTGTAGGTAATCATTAACTTAGTGTTGATCTTTAATATTAAATGTCCGGCTTTACTTGACAGCCTTTTACCAAGGCGGATCTAGGTTCAAAGGACGCCACCAATGACACAACCACCACCACCACCATCACCACCCCACTCCTTTTACATGTTTTATCTGTGTATTAAGATGATTAAAATCCTGATATCATTTTATAGCTGAAACGGATCGTGGATTCGATCTTACATCTCAACAACCGTGTGATAAACCTGTTTGGATAATCAAACTGTCCAAAATACGTCCATGCCATCAATGAATCCTGGTCCTGGCGTTCACATTTAAAATCTGTACAGTGTCTCTACATGACAAACACAGTTCACCAATGCACTCTTTTTTAGGGGGGGGGGGTGAAGAAGATAACGTTGTCATTTTGGCAAAGTCTGATCTTTGAAGGCTACATACATTCAATTGTTTTCTTGATTCACTTTCTGATGGACACATATATCAGCAAAAAATACGAAAAAAGGAACAAATTGATCATGGTATATAAAGCTTTAATCGGTCATATATTCTTCTCTTCCATCGTCTCACTTCCATCTACATGTTCAATAAATACCTCTATATTTTACCATTTGTGAAGATTATTCATCTAATCGAATTTCCATGATTTTGCTCTTTCGACTTTAGTTCTGGGAGGTGATTTCTGATGAACACGGAATCGACCCGACCGGTACCTACCATGGCGACTCTGATCTCCAGCTGGAGCGTATCAACGTCTACTTCAATGAGGCCACCGGCGGCAAGTACGTTCCACGAGCCGTGCTCGTCGATCTCGAGCCAGGCACCATGGACTCGGTCCGATCAGGTCCCTTTGGTCAGATCTTTAGACCAGACAACTTCGTCTTTGGTCAGAGCGGGGCAGGGAACAACTGGGCAAAGGGACATTACACAGAGGGCGCTGAACTGGTGGACTCCGTCCTAGATGTCGCTCGCAAAGAGGCCGAGAGCTGTGATTGCCTTCAGGTAGGTCTACGTTTAAATGTTATCAACAAACATAAATAGATGCTCGTATCTTTAAAAAGTTGATATTGACCAAAAACAAGTAAAGCAGCAGAATCATAGCAGAAGGAATTATCTCTTTGTTTTTTTCTGCTTCACAGGGATTTCAACTAACCCATTCTCTTGGTGGAGGCACCGGTTCCGGCATGGGAACCCTTCTGATCAGCAAGATCCGTGAGGAATACCCTGACCGCATCATGAACACATTCAGTGTGGTACCATCTCCTAAGGTGTCAGATACAGTTGTTGAACCCTACAACGCTACCCTGTCCGTCCATCAGCTGGTTGAAAACACAGATCAAACCTACTGCATTGACAATGAAGCTTTGTACGATATCTGCTTCCGCACATTGAAGCTGACAACTCCTACCTATGGTGACCTGAACCATTTGGTGTCTGCAACCATGAGCGGTGTCACAACCTGCCTCAGGTTTCCTGGACAGTTGAACGCAGATCTGCGCAAACTGTCCGTCAATATGGTTCCCTTTCCCCGTCTCCATTTCTTTATGCCTGGCTTTGCCCCTCTAACCAGCCGTGGTAGCCAGCAGTATCGCGCCCTCACTGTTCCTGAACTCACCTCACAAATTTTCGATGCCAAGAACATGATGGCTGCTTGTGATCCTCGTCACGGTCGCTACCTGACTGTCGCTGCAATCTTCCGCGGTCGTATGTCCATGAAGGAGGTTGACGAACAGATGCTAAACATCCAGAATAAGAACAGCAGCTACTTCGTGGAATGGATCCCGAACAACGTCAAGACCGCTGTCTGTGACATCCCACCACGAGGTCTCAAGATGTCCGCCACCTTCATTGGCAACAGCACTGCCATTCAGGAGCTCTTCAAGCGCACCTCTGAGCAGTTCACCGCTATGTTCAGACGCAAGGCCTACCTCCATTGGTACACTGGTGAGGGTATGGACGAGATGGAGTTCACTGAGGCTGAGAGCAACATGAACGACTTGGTGTCCGAGTACCAGCAGTACCAGGATGCCACCGCCGAAGAGGAGGGCGAGTTTGATGAAGAAGAAGAGGAAGAGGAAGAGGCATAATAAATTGCCCTCGATGTGTTTTAAACTTTTATCTTTTTGAATTTATTTTTCCAAATCATAGCAACAAATAATTCTGAAGGGAAGGGTGGGGCGGAGGGGGGGGGGGGGGGGGGAGTTGGCGTGACAGGGAATATTGTGTTTTCGGGGTGGTTATCTAGAATGTGAAATAACGGTCATTGTTGCAATTTGACCGATGACCTTTTTAATATCTATATTACGTGGTGTATTTTGTACTACCAATGAATATCGATGGTAAAACATTGAATTTGACCAACTGTCAACAAAATAGAGTCACGTCTTCATTGAAATACATGTATAAACAGTTTTGAACCCCAATAAATAACCAATGATGTTTACTGAATAAACGTATTCTGCTTTATGTTCGGAAATTGCTTTTTGGTAATAGACGATTGTGTAATATCAAGGGATGATAATGGTGATGGTGAGGATGATGATGATGATGAGGATGATGATGATGGTGATGATGATGGTGGTGTTAATAGTAATGGTAATGATAATGGCAGTGATTATGACAACGATAACGATGATGGTGATTAAGATGATGATGATGTCGATCATGATGGGGGTGATGATGATGATAAGTGTGATTAATATGATAATCATGACGATGATCTTGTTGGTAGTTGTGATGATTAAACCCACAATAAATGGTGATTATGATGGTGATCATGGTGATAATTATGATAACGATGATTATGATAACCATGAAGATGATGACGATTTCCATGATGATAATAATGATGATGTCGATGATGATTTCGATGACGACAGTCATGATGAATGTAATGCTGACAGTAAAGAATAGGATTGTGACGATGAACATCGAGGGATATGATTATGGTGGTGATGGTAGTGCTAATGATGATGATGATGACTAAGATAGAGAGGATGATAAAGATCAGTTCACATCATAACGGAAAAGTAATGTAGAGACGTTGTGGTCGAGTTGGTTAATCAGTTGACTGCAAAAGCAAATGTCGTGGGTTCGAGCCCCGATACAGAACTTTATGTCATTGAGAAAGGCATTTTATCTACATTAGGCCATTACACAATATATACATATTTAGCGTCCCCGCCCGCTTCCTTTTTTGGGGCCGCCTCCTATTAATTTTTTTTCTTATTTTTTGTTGTTGATTTTTTTAAATATATTTTTTGATTTTTTAAAGAAAAAAAACATGAAAAACACTGCTAATATGGATCTATTTTTTATTTAAAAAAAAAAAATGTCGGCGGCCATCTTGAAAAAAAGCCCAACTGTCAGGGAAAATGTACCGAGCGGCCATTTTGAGCGGCCATTTTGAATGAAAAAAAGGAAAAAAAAAGGGCCTCCCCCTTCCTATTTTTCAAAAAGGCAGGACGTAAACATATATTTTTTTTATTTGGCCTTACTGCTTTCCATCCAGGTGTTAAATCGATAACCGGTAGGATGCAAATGTCACCATATGGCCGGAAAAGCACACATGCGCCTGTAGAATTGCCACTCGGCTGAAATGCTCCCAAGTAGAGTGGATAATGTGCACTATAAGTGCACTATAAATACAACAACGACTGAGGTAATGGTAACTGTGGAATACTTTGTTCAGTTATACTTCATTGGAAATGCGCGATGAAAATAATTAAAATACACGTAGCTTATTATTTATCATTCATGATTAAAGCGTGCATTAAAGGGATAGTTGAGTTTTGTGGCAGAGGGCAATACACAATTTTTTTTGGTGAGATAATGAAAAACTGAGTGTCAAATTTGAAAGAACATACAATTTAAATGACAAAATCATCTTTGTTTGATCGAAATCGGTTCAGAGACGGCTGAAATATCCATAAATATAACGATTTCTAATATATTTTGTGTACCACCACAAATATTCGATAATTTGAAAAAGCCGTTGAAAAAACGAAATAGCGCCTTTTACGTTATATTTCAGCCAAAGCCGATGTTGGATTTTATGTTGGCTTTGTCGTGTTGGTTATATTACGCACAACCAGCCGGCCCATATATTGTTGTTATTAACTAATTAATTAATTAATTAACGGTCACCGTATTTTTTTTAAAGTTGAGCTGAATTGGTATGATCGTATTGGCTAAAGTTTACACATTTTGGGGTCTAAAATTACCTTCATAGCAATTTTAGGTTCCAAAAGGGCACCAGAAATGTCATAGATAAGAATAAGAGCAATAAGCATGCACTTTGAAGGCATTTGCGTTCTGAAAACAGAACTCAACTATCCCTTTAATGTGGATGGTTATTTTAAACCGGATAAGCATTGATTCACAATGTTACCTTTTCAAATTCATCAAATTGGAACAATATGTTAGCTCCTCGAACTATTTTTGTAACCTACAACGTTTACTTTGAATATATATACCTAATTAGTATTTAGGAACCCATTCAATTCCTCCTTTTCTACTTCCCTTCCAAGCCTAATTTGTGATTAGTCCTTTTTTTCCTGTTCTAACGTAATATTCCTACCATTGTTTAATGATGAAATATTTTGTTTATGTTTTACGCCGTTTGTAATTAATTAAAGTTCAAGCACTTTTTAGTATAAAATCATTTGTAATTCAGCTCTTGAGCTGCGATGATGATTATTGAATAAATACCATAATTATTATACCATTTTGTAGCAATGATGAGGGTTTTAAATCATCGTTTTATGGTAGGTGAACAGTCTTGTCAATTTCGTTTTTACTTTAATCAACGATCTTTATGTGTCTTTCAAAACATCGACGGAGGTTACACGTCGATAGGGCAACGGTATCTTTAGGAATGACTAACAGGCATTCTATTTGGTTTATCTCCATGCAAACGAAGAATCATTATCTGTGATGTAACCAATATTTGTTCTTCAATCTCATGAAGGCTTACAGATTAAAACCCCGCCTAAATATATCGTTGCTAACGGTCATATGTCTCAGACGTCTTCTAGAATTCGTGGTGTGTAGTTGTTCTGGTTTATAAAAGTCTTGATACCACCATCATGCGTGAGATTGTACATCTACAAGCCGGCCAGTGCGGCAACCAGATCGGTTCTAAGGTATGTGAATGTGTTTTGCCATTCGATATATAAATATTTTTTAAAATCCATTTTCTCTTTTCCTATAAGAAGCGTATAGAGAAAAATCGCACAGTGACATTTTAAATCACTGACTTTTTAAAACTTAAAAAAAATTTAAACCAATTTATGAGGCCAATTCTTTGACTAAGACGGTATTATGGACGCAGAGAAAACAAGGGCATACTAACAAGAATTATCTTAATATCGATGACCATAAAAATCTTGGCTTAAGTGATGATGAGTTTACCGACATACGTGTACATGCATTTCTGTAGAAAGCTTTTAGTTTTAGATAGATCATTAGATGATCATTATAGTCTTGTCGTGGCTACATATGCGACGACAAGACCTGATGTGACTCCAGATTTTGACGTCATGTTAAAGCCTGTCTGAACTAGTTTGGCCAGGAGGGATTAAACCTCCCTGCATGGTCACTGACAAGTGATTATCTCATCAAATAAGCTCTCAATAAACATAAGAAAAAGGGAATCATGGGGGACCAACGGTTACCGATTAAGCATTGTTTGGTATATAGAGGGCGCAAGCAGCTACAAGTACAGTGGGGCTTTAAGTATCATGGAAACTGTGCTCAAAAGGATAATTTACAGTAATATTAATTTCTTGATATAAAATTAATTGAAATAAAGACACTGTTATGGAATTCTTATCTCGAGTGTCAGATGCAACCTGTAATTTATGTCACATTCACCCCGAATTTTAGTAACTATTAAAGCTTATCAACACTAGTGTGGCTATGAGGTATTAGACCACCACACAGCGAGGTCACTGATAGGTGGCTATCTCATTAACTCAGCTATCAAATAACATAAGAAATAGAGGATCATGGGGGACCAACAGGCAAGTTTTCTATCTAGAGGGAGCAAGTAGCTACAAGTAGGACAGTGGGGCTTTAAGAGTGTCGATTAAAACAACTTCACTATCCATCACTGAAAATAGATGTTTGGGTGGGTTAGTTTGACAGAAATCAATCGACAATAATTGATTCATGTGCTAAAATCGCATATCAGTTAAAATATTAGCTATAACTAAGACATGATTCGGGAGTTGTTACTAATTAAAACCTGAGACAGTCGTATACATAAAATATTCACTTTTTAAAAAAATCAAAACACATGATCATGACCTACATGCAAAAAGAAAACAACATGGACATTGTTCCAAAAGTGACAAAGAGACATTTAATATTTTTCCTATTTCATCTATTGAAAAGGTTTAGGACTGTCTATGTAGGGAAGAAAAATGAAGAAACTTTGGTGATTCTCTTTTGAACAGGGAGTCATCATGCTCGAGTAGTTAATGATTAATCCATATTTATTTTTGCTACTTAACCCTAATAAGGCCGGGGGGGGGGGCCATTATAGCCCCCCTCCACGATTTTTCTGATTGCTCGAGAACGCATATGGATGGCGCCGCGCCACTCGCTGACCTTTTTCTTTCGAGTCTTGCGCAACTTTTAAAAGAATTTTTTGAAAATCGGACCTACGGTTACAAGGTCACGTGACCTTTTGTCTTTGCATGTCAGCCCGAAAATCGCTCATTTTCGTGATTTGTGTACAAAACATATGGAAAAGTCATTTTTCCTAAAAACAGATCAAACATGGGTTATTGGGTCTTGTTTAAAGTTAAGGTGGTTGTTTTGGGTGTCAAAATAGTTGAATTGTAGTAAGAAATGAAATAAAACAACAAAAACAATGAAATACATAAGTTAAAAAAACAATGAAATACATAAGAAATTATCAAAACAAGGAATAACATAAGGAATAAGCTGGCTCTTCCAAATTTGTTTGTTGTATTATTATTCAAAATGGTCTAATGAATATATGTAGTGAAAAAGAATGCCTAATTATGAATAATATATGATTTATGGGTAAAAATGTGAGTTTTATGACTTTATTTGCATAAATTACCATAAATATGCAAATGAGTAAATTTTTCAAAAAATTGAAATTATCATATTATTCTATACACTTCACTTTACATGCGTGCAAATTTTCGCGGCGATCTTAATGGGGGGGGGGGGCATAATGCCCCCTGGCCATACTAAGACCTCAAATAGCCCAGCCTTATTAGGGTTAAGCCTATTAACAATCTTGAATGATTCAGTCTGGACCTTGTTTGATTTACCTATCCCGTGACTATGCGTTCTAATCGAATTTCCACAATGATTTTGCTCTTTCGAATTTAGTTCTGGGAGGTGGTTTGTGATGAACACGGAATCGACCCTACCGGTACCTACCATGGCGACTCTGATCTCCAGCTCGAGCGTATCAACGTCTACTACAATGAGGCCACCGGCGGCAAGTACGTTCCACGAGCCGTGCTCGTCGATCTCGAGCCAGGCACCATGGACTCGACCCGTTCAGGTCCTTTTGGTCAGATCTTCAGACCAGACAACTTCGTCTTTGGTCAGAGCGGAGCAGGGAACAACTGGGCCAAGGGACACTACACAGAGGGCGCTGAACTGGTGGACTCTGTCCTTGACGTCGTACGCAAAGAGGCCGAAAGCTGTGATTGTCTTCAGGTGTGTTAAAACAGGCATTATGCCATTGATTTTCAAAAGATAATAATTTGCAAAACAGTTACTGGAATATCTGAATCAAGAATCAAGTGGGCTGTTTTTTGGTAAACATCGGGTATTTGGTTAAAATCTTTTACATTTTTTTAAACAATTCGATTCTTTTTTTTTCTTCCTCCTTTACAGGGATTTCAACTTACCCATTCTTTGGGAGGCGGCACCGGTTCCGGCATGGGAACACTTCTGATCAGCAAGATCCGTGAGGAATACCCAGACCGCATCATGACCACATTCAGTGTGGTCCCATCTCCTAAGGTGTCTGACACTGTTGTTGAACCCTACAACGCAACCCTGTCAGTCCACCAGCTGGTTGAAAACACAGATCAAACCTTCTGCATCGACAATGAAGCTTTGTACGATATCTGCTTCCGTACATTGAAGCTTACCACACCCACCTATGGTGACTTGAATCATCTTGTGTCTGTGACCATGAGTGGTGTCACAACATGTTTGAGGTTTCCTGGACAGTTGAACGCAGATCTGCGCAAACTGTCAGTGAATATGGTCCCCTTCCCCCGTCTTCATTTCTTCATCCCTGGCTTTGCTCCTCTCACAAGCCGTGGTAGTCAGCAGTATCGAGCCCTCACTGTTCCAGAGTTAACTTCGCAGATGTTCGACGCCAAGAACATGATGGCTGCCTGTGATCCTCGTCACGGTCGCTACCTGACTGTCGCCGCCATGTTCCGTGGACGCATGTCAATGAAGGAGGTCGACGAACAGATGCTAAATGTTCAGAACAAGAACAGCAGCTACTTCGTCGAATGGATCCCGAACAACGTCAAGACCGCTGTCTGTGACATCCCACCACGTGGTCTGAAGATGTCAGGTACTTTCATCGGCAACAGCACTGCCATCCAGGAGCTGTTCAAGCGCATCTCTGAGCAGTTCACCGCTATGTTCAGACGCAAAGCCTACCTCCATTGGTACACTGGTGAGGGTATGGACGAAATGGAGTTCACTGAGGCTGAGAGCAACATGAACGACTTGGTGTCCGAGTACCAGCAGTACCAGGACGCCACCGCAGAAGAGGAGGGAGAGTTTGATGAAGAAGAAGAGGAAGAGGAAGAACCATAAATTTCTTTGATGTCTCTTTATAACCTCTGATAAGTTTTTACATCAAAACAACAGAGGCTCATTCTTATTATCAGAAGATACAAATTTTACTTAGTTTTTAGCCTGGAAGGAATTAATCCCTTGAAATACTAGGGCGCCGTACGTAATGGCAACCATGCTAAAGCCAGGGTAATTATTGGGAGCGCCAGGAGTGTCAAGTCTGACAGACATGAGTGCTGCACAAGAACCCCAATATCATTATTATTATTATCATTAATAGTATTATTATTATTATTTTAGCTTTTGTAGCCGCTCTTTATGTATCTGTCCACAAACCGCAAATAAAACGACTCTATTATTTTCGTAAATAACGCACAATTTTTATTTTGCGTGCCATGCCTAATTATGTTAATCAATATTAATGTAGGAGAGCCAATTAAGCTAACCGAAAATCTTTTTAATTTTCGATCACAGAGACTGTGAGACCGAAAGTTGAAAGAAGCTGTATGTATCCAAGACCGAACGTTCACGAAACCAAAGGCTCTAAAGACCAAAAAGACACATACGCCTATTAAGCTATTAAATCAGTCCCATAAGAACGGACCCTCATTCTCTTTTGGATACCTAATAAGAACACCGGATCGATTATTTTGGTCTTGCGGATATTCCTACCAGACCTCCGAATGTTTCGATTTTGCGTAAATTCGCGAACCATTGGTTTCACGAACCTTCAGTTAATTGGGCTAAAATCGTACTGGTCAGTAGTCCCTGCAGGCTGCAGTGCTGAAAAATAAAATAAAATCATAGTCAAACACGATTATTATCATTGCTTTCTTTAATCTTTGTTCATCACGTCAATACAATAGCTGGAGAATTATTCAAGTATGAATTGGTTTTGCAGGTCCCTCCGTTCCCGGAGTGGGGGCCGGGGGGAACAACTCCCGGATCATGTATTATATAGTTAAAGCTAATATTTTAACTGATGGTTGTATTACAGGAGGAATGAAGAGAGTGAGTGTGGGAGGTGGAAAGGAAGAGAGAGAGAGGTATAAGGAGAGAGAGAGAGAGAGAATACTAAGAATATGATGACGATGACTATGATGATGATGATAATGATGATAACGACAATTTTTTTTTTTTTGCGCAACCCCTTTATTTTTAGCCCATTGTGGATTATATATATATATATATATATATATATTTTTTTTAACCATGTACCTTGATAGGGGCACAATCTTCTAAAACAATAAGAAAGAAGCAAAATAATCAAGCGGAAGAAAATGCCGAACCTTGTACTTTACCATAGGAAGGGACGCCAGAATTGAACATGGTCATGACGGTACATTGTACTCTGTCTCTCTTAAAGATGAAGTTGAGTTCTGGTCATGCGATTGCATTGTGAAGGAAACGTTGTGGAATCGATCAGAAAAGGTTGATCATCTAGCATATAAGTATTGGTGTGTATCGCAAGGTTTGGGAATCATCAAAATGAGTAGAAATTTGCCCCAGTCTTGGTAAAGTTACAAGCACTCTACACAGAAAGATGTATATGGGACTACACGAACACTTGGCATAAAAATCCGTCCCGATTTGTATGATGTAACATGCCATATTTAGAATTTTCAAGGCATTTGAAGAGCCATGCTTTTCAGAGAACATTTGTTATCTGATGTTCTTCCACACTTGCATAATACAATGATAACGCTCACAAACTATTTTTAACCTTTTCCCAGAACTCAACCCTTTCTTTAAAGCTCCATGGTTAAATACACAAACAATTGCAGTCTCTAGCTTTCACGGAATTCAGGCTACCAATATTAATTTAAAAAAAAATTAAAATGCGAGATAGTCTATCAGTCGGTCGGCTCCCCAGACTCTGGTCTTCCAGCAACATTTTCCACGGTTCGAATCCTATAGTTGTGTCTATTAGCTAGTGATGTAGAAGTAACGAAATTATCTGCTACATGTACACTGTCGCTCATAAAGGTGGAATATTTTTTAAAATCCCAATTTATGGAATTATTTTAAAAATAATTTAAAAATAATAGATCTAGATAATAGTATACATTCTCAGATGTTATTGAATAATAATTTGCCAATGTGTGTTTTGCGTGACTGCTAAGCATGTGTATGCTACTATGCTTCTCAACTAGGGGACCTATGCCCTTGAGTCATAAATGACAGTAATGAGGATTAATGCCCCACAAAAGGGCACTATTTAAATATAGCACATCGACACGGTTTTGATCTTGGGGCCTCACAGTTACGAGGCCATTGCTTTGTCACTGAACCATGACTGTACGCAGTGGGGGCTAGGGTAGGGGGCAGTTTCCATAAATAAAAAAACAGAAAATGCAATAAATTTTCAATAATTTATTGCATTTTACCCCGGTTCCCAACATAAAAAAATCTTCTGTGTGCCCATGCCTTGAGCCATAATGCATGGCCGTCCAGAGGATTTTTTTCCAGGATCAAAACCGTGTCGATGTGCTATATAAGTGCCCTTTTGTGGGGCATTAATCCTCATTACTGTCATTTATGACTTAAGGGCATAGGTCCCCTAGTTGATAAGCATAGAAGCATATACATGCTTTAGCAGTCACGCAAAACACACATTGGCAAATTATTATTCCATAAAATCTGAGAATGTATAATATTATCTAGATCTATTATTTTTTAATAATTTTTAAAATAATTCCATAAATTGGGGTAAAACTAAAATATTCCACCTTTATGAGCGACAGTATACAAAAGTCTGTAAAAATCAGCTAACACGCATATAGGTTACCCACCCTTCTAACCGACCCAATCCAAACCTTGCTATACGCTCAAAATAGTTTACAGTATAAATCAAAGGCATACATCTATATAATTTTTTTATGGAATAATATTCAACATTGAACAATGAAAATTGAGCTTGGATGAAGCTAAAATTTGGTTACAAGTGGAATCTAACACCATGGACCTATAAACCATTCATGCCAAAACCAACCCGGTACGTAATGTAATATTGAATTGCGCCCTCTTCCAACCGAGTTGAACTTTCCTCTCCGTTAACAATAACAGGCTAATATAATGGTCGAGATTCTCACAAAACGTAGGCATGTTTTTAGTGGGTGTTTGTGTGGGTGTGCGTGTGCACGTGTGTGTGTGTGTGTATGTGTGTGTTTGCGTGCGTGTGCGTGTGTGTGTGTGTGCGCGTACGTGTGTGTGTGTGCGTGTGTTTGTGTTTGTGAGTTAGAAGGTTGTAGAAATTTTGAAGAAAAGAATAATCCAATAATTTTTTTACAATAAAGATTTCTTATTGAAAAAGAAAATGATTTTTGAGGAGGAGTTGTTTACACGCAATATAATTTTAATTCAAGATATTTTTGCTGAAAATGGCAAGCGGGCAATATATATCATTTTCAAAATTTGGGTTTAAAAGGAAACAAAATTGTTGATGTACATTGGGGAAGCTATTTTGAGAAGCGGAAGAAAGGATAACTGGAGTTTAGTGGATGTAAAAGAGTATGGTATTTAAATGCAGTTTAACAGTATTGTGAAGCTCCTCAGAGATGTATTATCGAGGAAGGTTTATGAATATTTTATAGAGAAGTTACACAATTTATTTGTCTTGAAGATTCATGATGGACGGGAATTTTCAGATTTTTCAAATAAGGTATGTAGGGAGATATTTAGTAGGCCTAGGAAAGTTACTCTTGTTAACAGACTAACAGAAATTCAGTATAAACTGCTTCATGGAGCAATACAGTGCGTCCCAGAAAAAACGAAACCGAGAAGTATCGATGTTTTATCATAACTTAATCACAACCATAATTAATGAATGATACATATTTGGAAAGCTTAGAGTCTCCTCTTTTAGTTGATGCTACTCAGATGATGCTTATTTTACGCATGAGTGATTAAAAGCAATTTGAAGGAAGGAAACCAAAAAGACATTTGGCGGGCGGTATCTGAATTTCGAAGAGAAATTCACATTTCTAGAAAGTTGAGTTTCTGCTCTTTCATATGACACCTCAATCAGGAAAAATGAGGGAGGAATAACAAAGTTCTGTTTGCTTAAAGTAGCCCTTACATTTTCATAATTTTAACAAACGAATTCGTTTTCACTGGGTGCCTGCCGTACCAAAAAGCAGATTTGACAAAAGACTTAACTCCGTTTCGTTGACAATCAGCCATGCATGAAGACTCTCGTCTACGGCTGATTGTCAACGAAACGGAGTTAAGTCTTTTGTTAATTTCGTTTATTGATACGGCAGGCAGCCGGTGAAAACGAATTCGTTTTTTTAAAATTATGGAAATGCAAGCACTACTATAAACAAACAGAACTTTGTTATTCCTGGCTCATTTTTCCTGATTGAGGTGTCATATGAAAGGGCAGAAACTCAACTTTCTAGAAATATGAATTTTTCTTCGAAATTCAGATACCGCCCGCCAAATGTCTTTTTGGTTTCCTTCCTTCAAATTGCTTTTAATCACTCATGCGTGAAATATGCATCATCTGAGTAGCATCACATGAAAGAAGAGACTCTAAGCTTTCCAAATATGTATCATTCATTAATTATAGTTTTGATATATAGCTTTGACGTTTCCTTAAATTATTATAGCAAGCAGACGATTCGTTGTACCGTTCGCGGCTCTTAACCCTAATGTGTCCAAATTCAGTTTTTCCTCCTCCAAAAACCCCTGAGCTTCCGGGGGCGCTGCCTCCTGGATTCTACCTTGGGCCCTTAGACGGGCCCCTGCGTGCTCATTTGACGGCAATAGGGACTTTTAGATTTGCGTGGACTAATACGTGTGACGTCCATTCAAGGCAGTGCTTAATAAGGACGTCGAGCGTAGCATAGACCTATTGTCTTCGTGCAAATCTAAAAGTCCCTATTTTAATGCCTAGAACCCCTGAGCTTCGAGGGCTCCGCCATCTGGACTCCACGTCAATTAGTGACCTGCCAGTGTCACAAAACGTTAATAAGGTATCAAAATATGCTCATCTTAAATAAATGCCTAAAACCCCCGAGTTTCCACTGGCTCTGCCCCCTGGACCACACTTAGGGCCCTAAGGTGGGCCACTGGATGCTCATCTGATGGTAATTTATTGCCTAAAACCACAGAGCTTCTGGGGGTTCGGCCCCCTGGACCTCACGCCAATTAGTGTCCTGCCGGTGTCACAAATAAGGTTTCAAAATATGTTCATCTGATCGTAATTAAGTGCCTAAAACCCCCGAGTTTCCGGGGAATCCGTTCCCACGACCTCACCACGGGTTCTAAGGCGGGCCCCTAAATGCTTATCTGACCGATATAAAATTCGTAAAACCCCTGATCTTCTGGGGGCTGGACCCCACGCCATTTCGTGTCATGCCAGTGTCACAAATAAGGTATAAGAATATGCTCATCTAACCGTAATTAATATGCCTAAAATCCTGGGCTTCCGGGGGCTCTGCCCCCTGGACCCCACCTTGGGCTCTAAGGTGGCCTCTAGATGCTCATTTGACGGTATTTTAATGCCTTAAAACACTGAGCTTGCGGGGGCTCCGCCCCTGGACCCCACGCCAATTAGTGACCTACCATTAATATCAAAATATGCTCATCTGACTGTAATTAAATGTCCACACCCCCCTGAGCTTCCGGTGGCTGCGCCCCTTGATCCCCGCCGGGGCTTTGCCCCCTAAACCCCACACCAATTTATGCTACGATCTACCTGATCGTAAATACTTAAGCCTCCCCCTACCCGCTTTGGAGAAAAAAAAACGTTTAGCGGGGCCTGCATGTAAGAGTGGGGTGATGCGGATTTTTTTTTCTGTACCCCCTCCCCAA